AACACAAACCAGGATAGTCCGAACTTCCACAAGACTTGAAGTGCAAGAACTTCTTTGCTTCCTGCAAAGAATCCCACCTCTGAGGGCTGGCTTTTATCCCTTAAGGGAGGGGCCATCATCTTGCAGCCTTACTCCCGAGTCGCCCGTGCTGCTGCAGCTGCTCTTTCCTTCGAGCAGCCCTATACGCACACACACTGGGCACAGGCTCCTCGGGGACCTCTTCATCACTGCTGCCAGCCTCCATAAGCTCTGAAGGCAGCACTCCACTTTCTGATAGTCCTGGCCTCATCCCTGCATCACACGCAGGCCCCTCATCCAAGTCCTCGCTCTCTGAGACCTCAGCCGTCCGTTCCTGCTGCCGGCGAACCACAACATTAGGTTCCATCACAACGGATATTATTTAATCCTAAAGCCTGAGTCTCTAATAAGCCCATGGCACCTCCCTGGTGCATGTCAGGATTTACACTCTATCTGATTTTAGATTATTATTAGATTGATTTCATTGAAGCAAAAATACATGGAAACCAGCATACTGCAATGTATTCACTTCAAACAATTTTAATGGTTCTGCATTAAAAATGCAGGAAAAAAACGTTTTAGAAAATGAAAACGAAGGAAGTCAAAACCCAGTGCTTTGTCACGTGTGTGGAAAAAAACAACAACAGAAGTTGAGATCATAAAGAGAGTTATGGGATATTATAAGGAGTTTTGCTGTCCAATAAATGGGTGTTTAGTGACTGGCCACACCCTCTGGTGCAGCTGTTTCGGGGGAGCACGTTTAACATGAAAGCTGGCTGGGAGATCTTGGGCTGGTCACTGTCTCTTAGCCCAACCCACCTCACAGAAAAATAGGAGAGGAAGGAGATTTAGATATGTTCACCGCCTTGACTTGTTTATAAAAATAACAAAGGCGGGATATAAATGAAATAAATATTCTCAAAATTTCAAAAGTGCTTGTCAGTTTAAAAAAAAGATTTGGCAACTAAACGGATGTTTAAGATTCCCAAAATTTAAGAAGGAAGATGCCAGATCCATCATTGTGCCTCATGCCATTAATGCCATTAGGCTTGTGGGGCAAGAGGGGATGGCAAGTTAGGGATGTGCTGTTCGCTTGGAAATTTGGGAGGGGGCCTATCTTTGCAGACGGGATGGACTTCTTTCCAGCTGGTTTTCGCCAGGTTGCAAGGCCATTGTGCCCTGAGTGTGAACTGTTATCTGCCTAACACCTCAGCTTTCTCAAAATATCTTCTCAGCATCGCAGTAGGGGGTTGGGACTAGGGGTAATTGACAGAATTGCTTTATGCTTTGTGCAGAATCTTCAGATGCCATCTGACTTTACTGCATCCAGTTTTTCTCAGTAAAAATTCTTTTGATTCAACTCAGTGGATTCAAGAGTCTTGCTTTCCATAGGGGCCAGCTGCCCCCACTGAACAGAAGAGCTCTATGGTTTGCAATACCTGTAAAGATTCCCATTCCAACCATTCCAACATTTTAACATCCAAGAGCTCATATCTCTACATTAATCCAGTTTGAGGAAAGAGCACTCCGTTTTGTAAATTACAGTGGCAATGGTTATGATAATTTATTTTGATTTCACAGAAAACCCTGTGCCTCACAGTCAATTTTAAAAACTCGAGGTCCACTGAATCTTCCTTTCTTACAACTGAGTGGCAGCAGACTCAATCTTGAGTCAAAAATTTTATCAGGACAGAAGTGATGACCTTAATCCTTATCTGACCTGGACTGCACTAACAGTCACAGCAGAGGAGCTATGAGTGGATCAAGATGGACCGCGATGGACCTGCTAAGTGCCCAAACTGTCTGAGGTAACATACGTCAGTCAAAGGATCATCTGCATCCAGGTTAGCGGCGGGGATTTGATCCAGTCGAGGTTTCTTTGAGACTGAAGAGGAAGTTGTGTGTTCTGGGAAAGAAACAAAAAAAAGAACTTATAAGCAAACAGCAATGAAAGAAAAGTGATTACCACAGAAAATGAAGCTGACAGGTTTTAAAAAATGTTACTAGTTCACACCGATGTTTCAGTATATTTAAGTTGTATTACAGCTTCTCTAACTGGGAAAAAGACGAGGCAGAGGAAGGTGCCAAGGCTCTCAGTGATTTTTGCCGGTACGCCTATAAACAGTCTTTAAAGGAAATAAATTAACTGTATACCTTTTTTTCATCTATAGTGACAAGTTGTCGAGTGGCCTTATACGGGGTGGCCTTCAAAAATTTTAGCAAAGGGTTCTCTACCCAGTTGCTGGGTGGGCGTGGCCCTGGTGGGTGTGGCCTAGTCGGCCTCCTGCATCATGGTGTGTGTGTGGGGGGGGCGTTTTTGCCTTCCCTGGGCTCCGGAGGCTTCCTTCAAGCCTCCAGGAGGGCGAAACCAGTCTCCTTGGGCTCCAGAGGCTCTCTGGAAGGCAGAAACGGACCTATTTCTGGCTTTCCCGAACTTCCGGGAGGCCCATTTTTCACCCTCCCTGAGCCTCTGCACGCGCCCTGCACTTACCTGGCTCCAAAACAGGCTGTGTGGGGACTTCTGGGAGGGGTGGGGCGGGGTGGGTGGGGCCAGCCAGGAGTGGGATTTGGGGGTTCTCTGAACTGCACAGAATCTTAACTAGGGCCCCTCCCGAACCCCTGCGAACCCCCAGCAGCCCACCCCTGGCCTTATATTAAGTAATTACATCTCATGGAATAGTTTCAAAATTTACTCGAATGAACCCCTTTTGAGCTTCCTGGGCCTACATTCGATCCAGGGCTATCGCCACAGAGGCTGATCAACCGCACAAAACCATTTCTTTGCTATGATGGTGGCACAAACCTCGCGCTGGCCTGTCTCGGTTCTTCTCTCTCACTGCCACTCTCTCCCTCTCCTCCAGTTCCCTCCTGAAGTCACGGTTGCGCACCTCTTCAGGGGCATCCTGAGTGGTTTGCCTGAAAGAAGCAGCACATTAAGGAGGCGAGTCAAGAAAACGAAGGGGGATGTAGCACAGCGGGCAAGAGAGTGAAATGAAGAAGTGGGGAAGTGCAAAGCAGCACGATCTGCCCTTGGGAAAGTTTCCATCAGCCATTTTCTATTTTGGAACATAAAAACTTCTGAAAGTCTGTAGAGATTCTCAGTCATCCAGGTCATGGTTGTCCCAAAGGTGCTTTTTCAGGAGGCAACGGAATGGTGTGGGATGGAGTGAGAGTAGGAATAGATTTCCGGGGAGAGGGGGGGAAATGCAGACTACAGGAACCAGGACTACTCCTCGGGTGACCCTGAGGACACAGATAAACCTCCAAGTGGTTCAACGACCCTCTAAAAGGATGCAAATGACCAGCTGTCTGCAAGGAATATAAATCCTTCTGTTCCCCCCTATCCTTTCAGAGCTGAAGAAGCTTTTTGGATGAGAAGCGAAATGCCTTCGAAAGAAAAAAACAAGAGAGTCCAGTTGCCTCCTGAAAAAGCACCTTTGGGAAAAACTTCTGAAATTAATAAATCTCTCCAAATCAGCTTCTTCCTCACATTCACTGTTGAAATGCGGTCTAAGTGGGGCTCCATGGAAGACTATTTGGAAATGTCACCTTATTCAACACCTAGCTACCCATGTAATTTATCTAAATTTGCCCAGGTAACGCTATTACTCTAGGGATTGTACTGGGTGCCAGTCAACTTCCAAGGGGCTAGTTATAATCTTTAAAATCCTATATGGCTCAGGGCCTTGATATCTTCAAAACCAGCCCCTCCAAAATGGAGCTGCCATCCAGTAAGATTAGAGAAAGAAGATCTATTGAGCATCTTGTCCCTTGAGGAGTTCTATTCCAGGGATCCTGTAGTCAGGTTATTGCAATGTTGACCTTTCCCTTTGGGGGAACATTTTGCCCCTATATACATGGTGATATTATCGATATTATCTAACGGATGGATTTCCATGGAGCTCTGAAAATGTGATTCTTTGACAAAGCATCTGGGGACATAAAGTTTGTGCCCTCTGCATAGTGCCATTGTTATGATGTTGTGCTTGTTCTTGGCTGTGTTTTGTTTAAGTTGCCTGCTTCTCTTCTACTGGTATACTTCTCAGAGTGGATTGGAATAAAGTAACTTATCAATCGTCAAAAATAAATAAATAGTCTACACGAAAAACAGAATGGTGAAGGAACGGACCGTGTTGTTTTGTACATAATGAAAAACAAATTCTCATTTCAAAACTTATTTTCTTATGTCAGCTAAAGACGGCTTGTTTCATCTAATACATATTTAACCAGTTTTTCAGTACCCAAACTGAAAAATTTATAAACTTATACAAGCCAAACTCTATACTTCAATATACCTCTGTATGATCCTTGCGTACTTTATAGTGGAAAGGGGAGCCTGGTGTTAAGTCGAATTAGGATTGCAATTGGAGAAGTCTCCCTAAGCTGAATTTGAATCCTAGTGATGACATGAAGATGATGACCATCAACAATGTGGATGCTCTCAGTTAGTGGCGATGTTGCACCATTGGAAGACCTTAAGGACCAAATTAAGGATAGACCATTATGGGGGGAAAAATCTGGTAGCTAACAAGTGACACCACATAATCAATCAACCTAGTTGGCTGTATTGATACCACAGGGTTAACGTGCTGAATTAAAGGTTCAGTGTTTTTGCATCGTATTAATTTAAACTTTGGTTAGGTTTTACTGATGTATTGATGGGGTTCCAAAAATGAAGAACAAATTGACCGTATTTTGTGGTCAATGGGGACACTAAGAATCAAAACTCACTTGATGGCACATAAGCAATTACATGAAGATATGAGCTGGTTGTGACCCACTGGAGATGATAAATTCATAGATCTCCAGATGCACCAAGACTTCCCTTAAACAGAATACTTTCATTGGTCAAGTGTGGTTAGGACAAAGAAGGAATTTGTCTCCAGTACAAATGATGACTAAACTGCAATGACAATACATTAGATGCCAGAAACAAAACAAACGGCGGACATTCCTTTTTCAGGCAAAATAAAGCCTACTGCCGAAATCAATTCCCAACAACCACCACCACAAAAACTTGGCCTTTACCTATATTTAATTTTCGTATGAGAAGGAAGATCCCTGCTCGAATACTGCTTGGAGAGCTGACTTAGGTCCCCTTCTCCTTTTCCTCTTCCGCCTCTTGCGGGTTCAAAGGTTGGTCGAGCAGCGGTAGTCATCTTACAAGCATGGGATCAAACTTACACCATGGATTAAAACCTGTAACAGTAAAACAAAAACAAAGCCTGTTCAATACATCTTATTCAAGGAAACGGTCTCTGTTACAGTTGCAGCCCCAATGTTATGTGTCTTCATTGCTTAGCAAGCTATATTGAATTCAAGAGGTTTGGTGGTTATGAAGCCAACACAGAATGGCAGCTTTAAGCAGAGGTGTTTCTTCATTCTACTACTGCATCTCAAAAGTCCTAATGATGTATCTACATACATTGATATATCTACATAGCAAAAGAATATATAGTATTCTTTCTAATTTCCAAAGATTAAAGTGGAAAAATGTGGGCAGATACAGAGCCAAAAAGTATTTTTAATATGAAATTCACTTCTATTCTTTGGAAGTCTTCGGAGGTTTCCTAAAAATGACTGTAAAGGATGATAAACAGGAAGACTTATTTTTATTCTTACATCAAAGCCTCTATTAGAATTGCAAATGTATTTGGTTCTTTCAGTTTTTGTTCTTTCTGTACCGTGTCTTTGATAGCCTTGAGATTTTCTGTCATGAACCATTCAGGATAAAATTAAGGAAAACCTTGTCTACACTATCTTGGATGCACAGAGGGTAGGTGAGTTTAGATGAAATAAAGTTATGTTAAAAACTACTTTTCATAATTCAATGGCTATGAAGTAAAATCTGCATATAAATCTAAAAGAAATCTTTCTTTGCTTTTTGCATTTGCTGAAACCAGTGCGTACTTAAAAACACAACAGGAACAACTATTCGCTATCAGAGGCTTTGATTTTGTTCCGTAGTTAGAGCTGTTAGACATACAGTATGCTAGTGAAACAATTTCCTTAAAGAAAAGCATGTTTTAGCAGCCAACTGGCAATGAGGCATTATTATCCTTGTCTTTAGGTGAAATGGACAGCAAACAAATTTAATAAATTATCACTAGTTTATTTTTTAAAATACAGAATAAACATTTTCACGTATCTCTTGTAAAGAAAAGGTATTATGTTTAAGATTTCTTAATGTTCTTCAATCCTAAATAAGCTCCATACACTTGTGCAATATCAGATTACTTCCTTCAATACTTATCATTCATTTAGGCATTTCCCTACCCATCTTATTACCAAGGCAGCAAATAATTGAATTGACAAGTTTTTATTATCAAGTTATAGATCTGTTGTTGGAAGCTACCAAACACAATATAACTCATTTTTCCCTCTATGATAATAAAACATGACTTCGATTGTAACATTTACATTATTGTAATTAAGTTAGACTACAATTACTTCCTTGTATCACATACCTACATCATAAACAGACCACTTTAATTTCAAAGAATTGAATTGATCTTAGCTAAAGATAAAGGTTTCCCTGTCCAGTTGTGTCAGACACTAGGCCACAGTGCTCATCTCCATTTCTTGGCTGAGGGAGCAAGTGCTGTCTGAAGATATTTTCCATAGTCACGTGGCCAGCATGCCTATATGCCAAAGTTTCCCAGAACACTATTACTTTCCCACCAAAGTGGTACCTATTTATCTACTTGCACTTTCCAACCACTAGGTGGGCAGGAGTCCTGTTGGTGGCTCTCGGGTCTTGAACCCGAGTTGTCAGCTTCAATTAACAAGCTTGGTGTCTTTAACTACAAAGCCATTGCGCTCCGCTCTGGATAGTTTTGTATAGTAGTTGTAATAGTTGTAATTATTACAATCACAATACAAATCTATCCAGCGCTATTTTTAAACACCACAATCTGATGCCATCATTTGAACTGGGGTGGAAACGTAATCACAAAACAGCCTCCAAGAGAGAAAGTTCCTGATTCTAATCCAGCGGTCCCCAACTTTCCCCAAGAGATGGGACTTCAACTCCCAGAATTCTCATCAATGACCAGGCCAGTTAAGGAATTGTGGGGGTTGAAGTCAAGCTATTCTCCAAAGCAGCTGAGGGCAGGACAAGAAGCAATGGGTGGAAACTAATCAAGGAGAGAAGCAACCTAAAACTAAGGAGAAATTTCCTGACAGTTAGAACAATTAATCAGTGAACTGTCTTCCCTCCAGAAGTTGTGAATGCTGGAAGTTTTAAAGAAGAGATTAGATAACCATTTGTCTAAAGTGGTGTAAGGTTTCTTGCCTAAGCAGGGGGTTGGACTAGAAGACCTCCAAGGTCCCTTCCAATTCTGTTATTCTAAGTTTAGTTTAGTTTATTGTCATGGCACATCGTACAATGAAATTAAATGCCGTCTTCAGTGTACATTAGAACTATAAAAATAAAACACAAACACACATCCTTCATATTCTATATACAATTGAACTGAAAACCCCTGATATTGCATTAATATTGCACTATACAGTAGGATTCAACAGTTACTGCCCTGGGATAGAAGCTGTTTTTTCAGCCTATTTGTCCTTGTTTTTATTATCCTGTACGTCTGCCAGATGGTAATAGTTTGAGAGAGAAAAACGGAGCCCAGGATCAGCAAAAGTCCACACATCTGGAGGTGACGCAGGAGGAGGAAAACCCTAATCTCACCTGTATACCTCACCTGATACCTCTGTAAGGGAAAGCTTCAGATCCACATTAGACTAACTCCGTTATTCCCTCTGAATTCAGTCTCCGAAAAGGTCACCTTGGCTCTTGAAAACATAAGGCGGATTCATGCAGTTTCTTAGGTAGGAGAACCTCGATAGTTTGCCAATGTGGCACTTTGAAGTCCCAGTCTATCCTCCAGCTCTGGGATTTCCTGGTGGTCTCCCATCCAAGCAATAGCCATCCTCAATTTTTTTTTCAAGCTCAACTGGAGATTGAACCCCCAGACATGTCCTGTAGTGTAAGGCAGGGGTCTCCAACCTTGGCAATTTTAAGCTCGGAGGACTTCAACTCCCAGAATTCCCCAGCCAGCTGGCTAGGGAATTCTGGGAGTTGAAGTCCTCCAGGCTTAAAGTTGCCAAAGTTGGAGACCCCTGGTGTAAGACACATCAATACAGTTACTATGGATCGTACATGGAGACTGAGAAAAAGCTTCAGCCCTCGGCTCAAAGGCCTTTCTCCTTTTGCAAGAAGTGGGGGGGGGGGGTTTAGAGAGAATAGGCTTGCCGGTCTACCTTACAGGGTTGTCGTATCAATAGATTCTGCAACCCAGGATTGCTTGAAAGCTCTGTAACACGTAAAAATATATGTATATATATATATCCCCCTCACAACATTTGTATCATAATTAATTCTACCTGCTGTAATGACTGGTTTAAATGGAGCAGCTTCCGGCTTCTTGAAGCACATACGGGATCCAACCATGTAGCTCGACCCAAGGCTCTCGGTAACCGCCGCACGGCTAGGCCCGCCCCGCCATTATTCCTCCCACCGCACACGAAATCATAGAGAAACAACTCTTAATGTAGAGTTCTATAATAAAGGAAGAGGCTAGAGTGGCTCAATCGCTAAGCTTCCGGTAGAATATGATCAGGATTGGTCGGTTGGCTTCCCGGGAGGCGGGACATAATTGCGACGCTCTTTGCCGGATCTTTCTCGACCCCATTGCAAAGAGAAAGGTGCCGTAGTTCAGTTTCAGTCCGGAAGTGCGTGCAAAGAGTTAAAAGTAGAGCAAAACCAACATGCTACTTCTGGTTTAAAGTTCGTGGGAAAAACAAGCACACGAACGAGCCTCGTCCCACATCGAAAGAGTATCGAATCCACCTGTTCAAAATACTGTAGCACATTTTAAAGTAAGCAAGGGATTGAACTTGATGGCCTTTCCAAACTATCGCTAAGCATGTCATAGAGACAGAACCAATTAAAAATAGTTATGATAAAATGTATAATTGCAGGTATTTCAATTAGGCACAATCCTAGTACAATCCCACTAAACAAAAATGCAACAATTTACTAACATATATATTAACCACAGAATAAACTTCACAACATTTCGAAAGAAATACCTTGGCCACAATATCAGATTCAGAAAATAAAATTGATGGTATGATCCACAAAAAGGCCTAAGTTTAAGTAAGAATGGAGATACATCACATTTTATTAAGCCAAAGTTTATTTAGCGATGATATATTAAAATACAAATACAGTTGGTTCAATTCATAGAATATATTAGCCCAAAACCAAGTAAAACAATGCTTAGTGTAATCTATCAATTCAATCTTTTAGAATAGTTGTTTCAAAAAAATTATTATAAGATTGGGGATATGTATGAAAGTTTGTGGATTATGGCTTTTTTTCCTTTTTATAACTGATGCTTATAGGCATTTTTGGAAGCAAACGTGTGAAGACATTTTCTCTTAGCATATTTATCCTAATGTTGGAAGCAGGAAGATATTTAACAGATTCAGTTTGGGTTTTCACTCAAACTAGTGTCTCTGTGAAATGGATTTTCTAATGCCACCTGCTTTTTAAATGAATGTTAATAGCCTGATTTGTTAGTATGAAACTTGTATTTTGCTTTCTATAACTAATCTAATCTATCCTATAACTAATTGAAAATAAAACTTTCCGTCATTAAATATGTTTTATCATATTACTGTTTTCTGGAATTAAGCCACTAGAGGTCCCTAGAGAATTTCAGGATAATGTACCGTAATATATGCATTACATACACATGCATACATACATATATACATATACATACATACATACATACATACATACATACATACATACATACATACATACATTTTATGTGTATGTGTGTGTGTGTGTGTGTGTGTTGCAGTTCTGCATCATTCACTGAATTATAGAGAATTTCTTTTGTAAGTTGTCAATATTTTTCCACTGCTTCTTGAAGCTGGATCAGTTTTTAAATTGCAGGCACAGCATATTAACATCCATTCATATATAGTACAGTACTTACAGATACAGATAATCAGAGTTGGAAGGGACCTTGTAGGTCATCTAGTCCAACCCCCCGCCCAAGCAGGAGACCCTACACCATTCCTATAGAGCACTGCACACCAGAACAACTAGACACAAGGATAGTTTCCCCCGAACACCTTCACTCTGCAAATAATTCCCTCAACACTGTCAAACTATTTACAAAGTCTGCATTACTATTACTATTAACCTTCTCATCACTCCTTATCACCCATCCCCTCCCACTTGTGACAGTATGACTGTAACTTTGTCGCTTGTATCCTTACGATCTATATGGACTGTTTCCTAGTATGATTTGATTGCTTATTGTACCCTATGACTATTATTAAGTGTTGTACCTGATGATTCTTGACTCATGTATCTTTTCTTTTATGTACAATGAGAGCTTTTGCACCAAGTCAAATTCCTTCTGTGTCCAATCACACTTGGCCAATAAAGAATTCTATTCTATTCTAAATAATAGGAGTGGTACAGTGGCCTAGAGGTGGAGCTCTTGCTTCACAACCAGGGGTCTGTGAGTTTGATCCTAGGTAGAGGCGGTTATTTCTCTCTCTGGGCACAATAAGAATATATCTGCTGAACAAAACTGCACCTTGGCAACAGGAAGGGCCATTAAAACACTCTGCTAGCTCCATTCAGTTGCCCAGACTCCACCCCTCAAGGGATTATGGGGTTGTTAAAAGAAGATGAATACATAAATAAATAAACTATATATTTGTCCTTGAAGGTACAAGTAATACTTTAAGTTATTCAGAGTCTTCTGTTACCAATCTATGTTTCTTTTCTATTTATGAGCTGCCTGTCTATTGATGTAACCGAAAAGCTACATTGTGGTCACAATCTAATGTTGTGTTTAAAAATTAAGCTGAATTATTTACTATTTGAAATCATGGGGTTTTCTTCCTGATTTTATATATTTTTCTCTCACACTTTTTAAATATTAAAAAGTAATAAAAATTAAAATGAAATAAAGGGAAAAGGGGGGAAAAAACCCTCAATGTTTCAAAATAGTCCTGTTGCTTACATGGAAACTATGCAGATTCTCATTGAATTTCTCTCCGTGTTGACAGAACGCACCATTTCCCAAGATTTAGCAGATGGCTGCATTGTTATCCTTCACATCTTATGTGGTTCCTCGCCAGTGAATTCCAATTATTCCACAGCATTAACCCAAGGTAAGAACCTAAGCATTACAGCTGCAATTAAACTGCATATTTATTGTTCTCTGTTAAAAGCAGCTGGCTTTTGTACAAGAGAACCACAACAGTAATCTGTACGGTTCTACAAAATTTGTAGAGTTTTTACAAAATTTGTAACAATTACAAATACTGTAAGAAGAACTCTACTGAAGCAATAATCAAGTGACTCCAGAACTCTGTTTTCAAAAAAGGGCTAAGGAGATCTCAGAGAGGCATCAAACAGCACTGCAGTTTCCCTCTGTTATCTGTCCCTAACATTTGCCATATTGTGAAATCCAAGGTGTTATTTTTCAGTTAATAGACCATAAAGGAGAAGGGGCTCTACGGCTTGGCTTATCTTGTTTTTGGAGGCTTCTGTTAAAGTCTCAGAATTGCAATACTTTTGTTTTTGTTGAGTTTTTAAATGTGATGGAAAAATATGCACACAAAAGGTTATTTCCCCTGGTTTTTGAGAGTTCTCAGTTATTTCTCATTTCTATTCTACAACAGAGGCTGTAATTTATTTAGTATTCTCTCATTCATTCATTCATTCGTTCGTTCATTCATTGTGTGGCCACGGCTGTAATTTATTATTTATTTATTTGTTCATTCGTTCATTCATTCAATTTGTGTGGCCACCCATCTCAACAAGTGACAAAAGAAGTGACTCGGGGATGCCAACAAAAATAAAAGGAGAATGAAAAGAAAACAAATACAGTAATTATAATACATATAACACCGGAGAATATACTAACGATGGATCACTAAAGAAGACAAGTTTTATATTGCCACCACACCATGGCGGCTGGGTGGACAGTACAAGCTTCCGATGGGAGAAAATCTCACATTCTGAAGATAGAAATTTAATTTCTAGTTTGATCATCTTCAGCAAATGTTGGAGTTCATGCCTTTTTGTAGCACCCACATAGATCCCTGGGCAAGAGACGTATAAAAATCAAATAAGTCTTTTTACTCCTGTTATTTGATGCTCCTGTGAAGGATGAAAATTTAGGGGAAAAGGCACAGTTTAATAATGGACCCCTATGTGGAATTTGGAGAACAGCTGTGATGAATTATAGGTCCATCTTCCACACATCTCCTTCCCAGATACTGGATAGAGAAGGCTACTATAGATTATATAGGTTATATGGCTCTACAATTATGCGTCAAGCACGGGAAACCAGGAAATCCAGGTTATCCAAATGAATGTAAGGTTTTATTGCAAGATTAAACTCTCTACAAGAATCTGAACTACTAACAGTCAAAGTGAATTGGTGGGAAATAAGAGTCAGTGGAATTCAAGGTGAGTGGGACTTAGATGTTTTGTCGGCACGAAGGGATTCAAGATTGATGATGCATTTGACCCCTCCCGCAGGCTTAGCCTGGTCATCTTCTATAGCATGTTCTCGCTTCAAGTCTATCCATTGTATTAAGCTAGTGGAGCACAAAATTTCGGGTATTGGATTGACTTCAAGTCTTTCAGCTGTGGAAGTTCTCTAGATGGATCTGAGCCAATCGCTCTCCGCCCAGCCTGCCCCAGGTGGTTCTTACAGGAAGAAAAAAAATGCAGAAGGCATGCAATGTATATGTTCTTTGTTGAGCTCCTGATAAAAGAGTGCTCAGAGAAAGAATGTGAGATAAACAAGGGCTTGTTTAACTGTGGATTACTGAATTAAATGCGTTGGGTTTGCATTAAGTGAAACTAGACAGGCCATGCTGAGTTAATAGAAACTGTTGATTTTCTTTTTATAGTCTAGGAATACGGTGGCTGTCTGGATTTAGAACTCAGACTCTATATTTCCTTCATTTGGGTCCTCTATAAAGTTCCACTCTCTCTACTTCTTTCTCGCATATCATCCAACAAACTTAAGTCATACTTATTTATTTATATTCCACTTTTATTATTTTTACAAATATCTCAAAGTGCTGAACGTATCCAACATACCTTCCACCTCCTATTTTCCCCACAACAACAAACCTGTGAGGTGTTTTGGATTGAGAGAATGTGACAGGTCCAAGGTCCCTCGACTGGATTTCATGACTAAGGTGGGACTAGAACTCACAATCACTTTCAAGCCAGGTCTCTTAACCACTAGGCCAAACACACACACACACACACACACACACACACACACACACACCTCTCCCTCTCTCCCTCCTTCCCTCCCTCTCAGAAAAGCAGGATGAACATTTTCATGACTCATGTATTAGACTGCTTAAGGCTGCAAATTGTTGATTGCCACTATGAATGTCATAAAATTATGACACAGAATTCTCTGGTGCTTTCCTGCAGTGAACGACTGCAGTTTCTCTTCTTAGCATAGTCCTTAAACAAAT